CGGCTCACCGCAACCTCCGCCTCCCGGGTTCAGGCAATTCTCCTGCCTCAGCCTCCTGAGTAGCTGGGACTACAGGCACGCGCCACCATGCCCAGCTAATTTTTTGTAGTTTTTAGTAGAGACGGGGTTTCACCATGTTGACCAGGATGGTCTTGATCTCTTGACCTTGTGATCCACCCGCCTCGGCCTCCCAAAGTGCTGGGATTACAGGCTTGAGCCACCGCGCCCGGCCTATTTTATTTTATTTTATTTTTTTTTTGAGACGGAGTTTCGCTCTTGTTACCCAGGCTGGAGTGCAATGGCGCGATCTCGGCTCACCGCAACCTCCGCCTCCCGGGTTCAGGCAATTCTCCTGCCTCAGCCTCCTGAGTCGCTGGGATTACAGGCACGCGCCACCATGCCCAGCTAATTTTTTGTATATTTAGTAGAGACGGGGTTTCACCATGTTGACCAGGATGGTCTCGATCTCTTGACCTCGTGATCCACCCGCCTTGGCCTCCCAAAGTGCTGGGATTACAGGCTTGAGCCACCGCGCCCGGCCTCTAACTACAATTTAACTAGGCCATTTCCCAGGGTTATTTATGCAGCTGATAACCTTGAGAGATGAGATAACAGCACAAACAGTAGGCTTGCTTACTGTGGACTATAAAAGCAATGGATTATCCAGGCTCAGTGTTCCTCAGTGGCTATGGCCACGTACTGCATGAATAGCATCCACGTAGACCATCATGCTGTCCCCATGGCAGCTGAGAAAAAGAGGAACTGATGAAAGCTGATGCCTATGCTGCTTGCTGTGCCATGAGTAATGAAGTATTTGTCTCTGATCCTGGAGTCTCATGTTTTCTGCCAACGTTCATGAAACTAACAGGCTAATGTATTAGCTTGTATGTATGAAAAAAAATCCAATCCAAGAGTTAATATTACACCTAATGTTGAAACACTGAAAAATTTCCCACTGAATTCAGGAAAAAAAAAATAATGTGTATTTTCATCTTTCTTTTTAACAATGTACTGGCTTGGCCAGTACAATAGGGCATGATGAAGAAATAAAAGGTATAAAGATTGAAAGGAAAGAAAGAAAACTATCATTATTCACAGATGATAAGTTGCAGACACAGAAAATCCTAAATAATCAACAAATTCTTATAATTAGCAAGTGAATTAAACAACATGATCTTAGCCTGGCACCTGTAATCCCAGCACTTTGGGGGCTGAGGGGGGTGGATGTCTTGAGGTCAGGAGCTTGAGACTAGCCTGGCCATCATGGTGAAACTCTGTCTCTACTAAAAATACAAAAATTAGCCAGGCGTGGTAGCACCTTCCTGTAATCCCAGCTACTTGGGAGGCTGAGGCAGGAGAATCACTTGAACCTGGGAGGCAGAGGTTGCAGTGAGCTGAGATCCCACCACTGCACTGCCTGGGCGAAAGAGCAAGACTCTGTCTCAAAAGGAAAAAAAAAAAATATGATGACATTGCACCACACAACCAATAAAATAGTTAAAAGACTAACAGTACCAAATTATGAAGAGGATTTGAGGCTATGAAGCAACTGAAAATTTCATACATTGCTGGATGGAGGGTAAACTGGAACAACCACATGAAAACTTGGTCTATTAAACATTAGCCTACCCTATGATCTAGCAATGCCACACTCCTAAGTGTTAACCCTGGACAAAGGCCTTCATGTGTTCACCAAAAACATGGTAGAGTGTTCACAGCAGCAGCGGCATTTTTAACAGCCCCAATCTGGAAACTACCCAAATATCTATCAACAATGTAATTAACTAATATACTGCAATATATCCCCAATGTAATGAGAACTAAGTATAATTACACTGAACAACATGAATGAATTTCACAAACATAATGTAGAACAAAAGAAGCCAGGCATAAAACAGTACATGCTGTATAATTCCATGTATACATAAAGTTCAAGAATGTGTAAAACAGCTGGACACACTAGCTCACGCCTGTAATTCCAGCACTTTGGGAGGCTGAAACGGATGGATCACCTGAAGTCAGGAGTTCAAGACCAGGCTGACCAACCTGGTGAAACCCAGTTTCTATTAAAAATACAAAAATTAGCCACGCATGGTGGCTGGTGCCTATAATCCCAGCTACTCGGGAGGCTGAGGCAGGAGAATCTGAACCTGAGAGGCGGAGGTTGCAGTGAAACAAGATTGCATCATTACACTCCAGCCTGGGCAACAAGAGAGAGATTCTGTCTTAAAAAAAAAAAAAAGAATGGGTAAAACTAGTCAATGATGATAGAATTCTGAATAGATTGTTGGGGAGAAACAACTGAGAAGGGGCATGAGGAAACCATCTCAGGTCTTGGTGGCAAAGTTCTTTATATACAACTAGGAGTGTTATACAGCTGTACACTTAAGATTTGCACATTTTATATAGGCTCTATCTATCAACAGCCTCCTGCTTTGTTGCCCAGGCTGGAGGGCAGTGGTGTGATCACAGCTTACTGCAGCTGCAAACTACTGGGCTCAAGCAATCCTCGTATCTCAACCTCCTAAGTAGCTAGAACTTATAGGTGCCAGCCACCATGCTTGGCTAATTTTTTTTATTATGTATGTATTTATTTATAGTAGAGTCAGGGTCTCACTATGTTGCCCAGGCTAGTCTCCAACTCCCGGCCTCGAGCAATCCTCCAGCCTTGGCCTGGCAAAGTGCTAGGATTACACACATGAGCCCCACACCTGGCCTAAAAAAATCTTTTTAACTCTTGGAACTATGTTTTGGTAGGGATATGGAGCAATAAAATATTTCAAACATTGCTGTTCAAGTACAAATTTGTCCTCCTACTCTGGTAGCTATTTTGACACTGTTTAGTAAAGTGGAAGATATCATATGGACCAGCAATTCTGCTGGTAAATAAACTCAAGCATGTGTACCCCATGTGAAAGAATGTTTGTGGCTGTGTTGTTTATAAAATAAAAAAAACTATAAATAACTAATACGTCCATCATTATTAGAAAGGATGAATAATTG